TGAACTCAAGTAGTAAACATTGAAAACTTTTCAGTATAACATATGGAGGCCCATAAAAAGCAGCATAGATGGGGTGAACAAGGATTTATTGTTCCTTGTGGGGAACAATACCCTTTCTAAGTGGTGGAAATATTAAATCAGTAGGTGGCATGTTCAAACAAACAAAAGAAGGTGGTTCATAATGAAACATGTAGCTGAGCTGTAGGAGTGCCAGAAGTGTGGTGGATGCCAAAGGCTTCCATGGAAAGCAGAGAGATGAGCAATGGAGGAAAAATTAATTGAGCTCTGTTGAATGCAAAGACGCCAGAGCTGTCTCTAAAATGTACAGATATAGAAAATATTAGCGATTGGAAGAGTATTCTAGAAATATCACAGCATTGTTGCACATTACACATGTCAAAAGCTAGATCTGTAAAAGAACTGAAAGTATTGTTTCTTTTCCCACTCTTACCAGCTGGTAACAGTGACTGAAATGAAAAATGTTAGTGTTGCTGGGGGTTTGCCAGTACTTGAGTAAGAGTTTCATGTTTTGGCATAGCACGCTTTAATAATAAATCACTCTTGACACTTCAGATTGCTAATGATACTGGATAGGAACCTTTTCAGTGAACTTTAAATAAAGGAAAACACCATTTTAAAATCTGAGTCAGCTTTTGCAACAATGTTCTAAGAAACCTACGGTTCTAATCAAAACATTAATTTTGTCAAACTTATATGTATTCTTGAATATGCTGAGAATAATGTAGTTCAGAGTTGTTATTGTACAATGTATAGGCATATAGAGCTGAAAAAAATTGGATGTTTGATTTTTTTAATTGGCATATTTAATGTTACAGAGTATCTGGTCTTATTCCTCGTGTTATGAAAATCTAGCTTCCATCCTGTTATAGACAGTGCCTTAAACTTTCTTCTATGTAATGTTCTGCATGATGCGCTTGCAGATCACAAATCTTCATCTGTTTCACATATATGTGTGTGTGTGTGTATGTGTATATATAGCTCCAAATATATTTGATGGCGAGGAATATGGATGTTCTGGAGAACGACACCCCAAACTTGGTATACAAGGGACAGGAGGAAAGTTGTAAACAAACTACTAAGTGCACCAACATGTGTTGATTCTGGCATCCTGACTGTATTCTGTTTCACACTCTTTGGCAAAAATATAAGCCATGTTGAAAAGCCTGGGCTAGACAAATAAAAGCTTCTTCTGGCCCACCCTCCAAACAGTTTGGCCATAAGCCAGTTCTGGTTCTTAAACCATATGGCCACATAAGCTCAGTCACAGAGCTGTGCTAATAAGCTTGTCATCCATAGCACTTCTCCCTGCAGCAACACCCTGGAAACTCATAAAAAGTTATTAATCCTCTGATCACTTTTTTTTTATTCTGCTCAGCCTCCCCGCCCCTGAGGTGCTACTCTGTTCTCTAATGCAATCTCCTTTTCTTATTTGTGTGCACATACCTTTGCATTGTTAGATATTAAAAAGCATGCTGCTTAAATGGACCCACTGTGGTACCCAGGGGTGATCTAGTCTGCTCTGTGCTTTTTATCGCACTATTCTGAAATGCTGGGTAATCAGTCATCTTCATTAATCATCCACAAATCTTGTTAGCAGTAGGTTCTTTTTATTTTCTTCCCCATCATTGCTAAAGATTTCAAGTGTTAAACTGGAAAGGATGCTCTGTAGATGCTGCTAGATAGTCCACTTGAAGTTTCATGTTGACTGATTTCTTTTGCTTTCTCTTCAGTTAAGTAGCTTGTAGATTATTTTACGTGTTCTCTATTAATTCCACTGACATGGAATAAATGATGCTGTTAGTAAAGAGGGAAGAGAAAAACAGAAGCAGGTTTAACAAAGGAAGTAAAAGCATACATGAGTACTTGGTCTGGAGGTTTTGGTAGAGACTAATGATGTTTCACTTGGGTAGGCTTGTACATCTGGTTCTCTTTTATCATCAAAATCACTCAGTTCAAGCTTATGTTTTACAAATTTTAAGTCCATTTTCTTTACCTTGAGTATACTATTTTTGTATTATGTGCAAAACATATCTGTAATTACCTGAAGTATATGAATTTGCTCCGAGTGTTATTTGTGATATCTTCTTTCTGCCTAGGGCAACTGTGATACTCTACCATGCTGACTGCAACTTTGCTGGCACTTTTTGTAACCTAATGCTCATTGTTAATCAAATTTATAGCAATACCGTAGGTGTATAACAAAACAGTCCTCCTGTCCAAATAATCTGTGTTGTATAAGTGCGTATTGTAATTGCCTAGCAATAATCTTTGCCTCTTGTAGACCGTGACTGCTATGTAATTCCTTGGGAAAGTTGTGCAGGAACTAACATGAATGATAAACTGTATTTAAGAATTTATGTGGTGTGTTTTGAGAAGCGTTGCGTAGGCTTGTGAAATATTTGGTCTTACTCTGTAATAAGTGTTCATTTAACTTCTTTGCTTTTTTTTTTTTTTGTCTTCTCCTTTTTGCCCCTCCTCTTGTTTGTCTGACTGGTTATAAATGAGCTGTTCAGCTACACAATTGCCTTGACACCCTTAAGTTTGGATTATCCCGTTGGCTAACTTAGCGTAAACTGCAGTTGTTCACAAGTCATGACTCTGGCCTCTAAACTGACACTTTAAAAATGCATCCTGTGTTCTTTTATCTTTTATCAAGAATTTTGAAGTATATGACGAACTTGTCTATTTAATTGTCACAATTGCTTTATTCTGTTTTCTGGAGCCTTCAGAATACTGACAAAAGTTGTTTCAAATAAAGTAAGAACTACTTGAGATTTGTTTTCTTCTGTCTGCCTGCAGGGAGAGGTCTATGCTCTAAGCAGGCCATATAGGCCAGATTCAGGAAAAACAAAATAAAAATCGTAGTAAGTAGGTGACTCCAAGGGCAATTTCTCAATAAGGTTGAATTCTCCTATTTTTCTTCTGACTCAGTAGTGAGTTGCAGCTCAAGTACTAATCCTTAAAATTGAAAGCTCGACTGTTTAGAGGTGGTGGTAGCTGTATTACAAGAGGGTTATCACAAAAAATGTCATCGCACAGTGAACCTATCGCAATCCACTCAAGCAAATCAGGTTATAGATGATTATTCCATAAGCAGAGCTCAGTTGTAAAAGTTCACCAGGAGCTGCTTTTGTTGTACGGAGATACTAAACATCTCCAGAGCCTTCGCCGTAGCATTCTTGAACATGAGTCCTCCAGCAGTTTTCCATGGTTGCTCTTGTTTTCTCATGAGCTCAGGACAAATGCAAGTTACTTAGCCAAGTTTAAGAGAATGCTTTTCCTTTAATATGAGAGAAGGGCAGCCAAGCTCCAGATAAGCTCTGGGAAGATAAGATGTCCTTACTGAAGTACGCTGCAGTTTTGTTAGTAGAATACCGGGGGGAAACATACATATAGAATACTTCCTTCAGAGTAGGAAAGGGACATTCTAAAAAGGATGGTATAAGCAGTTAGCAGCCGCTAAAATGGAGAGCATCTTGTTCTGTTGAATGTACCAAGTAACTACTGTAATAATCTGAAGTATTATTTTGTTTAAGCTGACACAAACAGAAAATTATTTTCTACCTGGAAACTTAAGTGATGTCAGTCTTGCTGTATGGAGGTCTCCAATCACTCCATCTCATGAGGAATCAGAAAACCTTGATGGTAGTAAACACAAGAGTTGAGTGAAATAATGGATTTCCTATTTAAATATAAATAATTCAATTTTGATACTTTATAAGTCTACAAAGCTAAGTTTACTTTTTCAACAGGTATTTAAGAGGTAGGATGGTACGTTCTGTAAAGTTAGTTGTAGGTACTGTGTTGTTATTTGCCCAGTGCAATTAATTCCTGAATGAGTAGTCAACTAACCACCCCTGTCATTAGCCCTACTGGGGGGGAGAGAGATTGGACCTAATGACTTCCTCTGTTCCTTGCAACCTAAATTATTCTATGATTCTAAATGTTTCCTTCTGTAGCTAGGGTCTTCTCTAAAGAATACCTTAGCAGTTAGTTTGTATTCATAATGAAGATTGCTGGAGCCAGTAAGTAATAATTACAAAATTAAGTGGCCAAAACTGAATTTTTGACACTATTCAGTAAATAGGCATTCAAACTCTTCTTAGACAAAAATGGTGTTTTAAAGAGGTCATTGTAAATTTGAAGGAAGCATGGGAAAGTCATTTGAGCGGCTTTATTTTCTTCCCAGCCCTCCACATTACCCTTTTAGTACAGGATCACAAACATTTAATCCATGCCAAAGTGAACATACTGGTGATATTTCATCTTGCAATGTTAGGTGAAGGCGAGTAAACTGACTCTTATCCATCGCCGTAACAGAGGCAGAAGGACGCTACTTTTGCAAACAACCAGAACTTGCTCTGAAAACCTGTGTCTGGCAGTGTGTCCTGAGCTGAGAAATTCAGATGTGTGCAAGCTTGCCTTTGCTTCCCCAGTGCTACCTTGTGCAGGTTACACTGTGATGCACAATATCAGAAAAATTGTTTTTCAGAGACAGCACTTCTTAAAGGGCTTGCTTAACTGAAATGTGTTTGCTACTTATCAGCTTCTTAAAGCTTTATGTGTATTATTGAGTATAAAAACAAAAAAAGCAACAGATTTTCTTTAGTCCAAACTGGAAGAAACAGTCATTTCTCCATTTATTGAGATTTATTGTCTTTTATGAATTACATTTTACTCTGAACTCTTCTGTCAGTGTTTAAATATGCAAAATCATGGCTGAAAATGCAGTATATCAGAACCACTCTTCAAAGCTTCATTAGTGGAAGAAATATTTAAATATTATGATGCTGTGTTGTGGCATGGGAATCAAAGTTAAGGCTGTGAATTACTAGTTGCCCACTTGAATACTTATATGCCCAATTTTTAATTGGATTAATTGAAACTGGATTTTGAAATTAGAATTAATTTAAATTAATTAGATCTAACTGAAAAGCCTTCTGTTGGAAAGTAAATCACTGGATCTTCATGTATTTCAGGTAACATTCAAGGAGCAACAATAGTGGATGCCCTTGACACACTATACATCATGGAAATGAAAGAGGAATTCAAGGAAGCCAAGGAGTGGGTTGAAAAAAACTTAGATTTCAATGTGGTAAGTAATGTTGCTGATTAACATTTAATGCTCTGTTTAGTCTCTAGGGGCTAATTGAGGAGTGAGTTCTAATATCGCAAGCACAATCATAATAAACTTACTGCTCTGCTTTTGTGCAGTTTTTCAGTCTTCAGAGATTTAGGTAGATAGGAGGCAATAAGCTGTACTGAAGGAAGGAGGAAGGTATAGAGAATTTACCATTGTAAAGTAACTAACAAACTTTTCAGCTCTTTTGGGTAGAAGAATCAGGACACTTCAGGCATTGATTTTTTTGGTTATGTAAACATTTTACATTTCCGCTTTGTGAAATCTTCCACAAATTAGGCTTGCATTTAAAGAAAACCACACACCATACATATCATTTAAGTTCCTTTGTGTATTCTAGCAAAGTTGAATCCTATGAGTTAGGCTGAACTGTTGCAACAACTGAGCTGCTTTAGTCTTATGAAGCACCAGGTCATCACAACTGCATGTACAAATCATGTTATTAACTGGTAAACATGCAGCTGAGAACAAAGTTCATCATTAACTATTTTATTCTAGAAAGGCCCTGAATAGGGAAGAACCTCTGTAAAACTTCAGTGAAATTGAGAAGTCCTGGTTTTGGTCTCTTTTTTTTGTGTGTGTGTGTTGTAATTGCTCGGTACAGAGAGCTAATGGAGTACCCTTGCTGATTGGTGTAGGAAAGTATTGTAGGCATGGTACACTGAGCACTTAAAAGCTCTTGTAGTTGACGTATGTAATGGTTGAAATGCTTTCTGAAAACAAAGTACTCTTTCTAATATGTTATGCAAAAGTCAGGATTAATTAGCTTCTCTTACATGCTTGGGAATTAATTATCATTTTAAGAAGGAGGAGTTAATAAGTGGATATTATATAGTTTATATAAGCAGCAATTTAGTGTTCATTTATGTTTACATTAATAATGTAAATACAGGATATTAAACTACGCTTCCAAGTAGTGTCAGATGTCTGAATGACATACTAACTTTATCTTGTGCATAAGACTTTTTTTTCTAAAGGAATTTTTGTAATATTAAATTCCTGTCTTATTAGCTTAGCATTATTAAGATGTTTAGAAATGTAAGAACAAAACTTATTAAATAGCAAACTCAACTTTAAAGGAAGAGCTGAGCTGAGCTCCACTTGGAGGAACATCATAAAGCACTGTAGAGTAATTTACGTTAATAACACTGAAGTCTTTGGTTTGACGTAAATCTTGCTGTACTTTGTACTGGAAATTTCAACTTCTAGACGGTACTGCCTACAGTTTCAGCTCCTGTTGTTAATTTATGTCCATTTTAAAATTATATAGAACTTTTTTTCTCAATAATGCTTAAAAGCTATGAAGTCTTTCAAAATGTCTGAAATTTTGTGTTGTGTTAGTTGGACAATGCAGCAATCTCGCACATTTACCAAAACTACTTTACAGATAATACTGATATGCATCAAGAACGATATCTTGTTCCTGATTTTCCTGTAAATAGCTGCCTTGAGTTTGACACTTCACAAAAATTATTTTCATAATACTTCATAGTCATAGAATTGAATTTTACATTGGCATCAGTAATGAGTAGGTGAATTTTCCCAAAGTGGAACGAGGAAATGAAAATAAGTAACAGCAACACCATCTTCAATAATTGATGTCAGTTTGTTTAATGGCTGAATTGTTTGAAGCTACTTAACTTGTACTCTTGTTTAGTTTTCCACTTTAAATACAGGCTCTAGTTTCAAATGCTGCTTTGTATCTTATAGTTAAAAGTTGGACATTAATTAGCACAAAGAACAGCAGGGCCCTCTCTTTTGTGTTTAAGCATTTATCACGTGTCCAGTGTTACTTGACATTTTCTGCATTAATGTTTTGTACACTCTTACTTGTTGCTGTTTTAGAAACCTTTCTCCCATGAAAAGTGATCTAGTTTTTAGTAACTGACACATTGACGTATCCTTAAGTGTTATTCCTTGTGAGTAGAATAAAACATGTTTCTGGTCATTTCCTGGGCAGTGACTGCTTAATCAGCTCTTGGGGAAGCATGTTTGGCCTTTATTTGTATAAATAGGATTAGTTTTTCCTCACCATTTAATCTTAGAACTATGGTTTTTAAATCTTAAATTTTCTTTAAGATATTCTTTATAAAAATAGTTGTGACTGTATTCCGTGGCAGAATATTTACTCTTTATATTCTATGTCAATACAGCTGGATAAAGCCAGTTTTCTCCTCAAAGTCTGTAATATGTCAGATACTCATTGTATATGTTGAACTATTTGGCCAGCACTTGGTTATTTTCATCACCTGATCTCTGAAGTTTCCAAATGTCACTTTGTAAAGTAGGCACTAGTTTATCCACATAAAAAGATTTACAGAATAAAGATGACTTAATGGGAAATGGCATCATCTCTTCACATGTTAGATTTCAGTCCCTCAATTCAATGAATTAGTTGTCAGGGTTACTTTTGTTAACTTTTTCTGAAGAAAGCAAAACTGTTTGATTTCAAAGGAAAATTCTAGATAAATGGCACCTTTCTCAGCAAACTTGTGAATATTGGTAAGCTTGAGAGTGGACATGTTTGGAAACTTCCCCTTCTGGAATATAACAAGCTTAGGCTATTTTTATTATAGCTGGGGCTGGTAGCACTGTGATTTTACAACTGAGATATCCACATTGCAATGCTTGGAGTATTTTTCTCTCATAACTGCTGAAATTCCTCATATTTGATAATCTGTTGAAGTTTCAGCCAAACTGAGTAGTCCTTCAGGAGTTATGTTGCATTTTCTGATTCTTTCAATATTTTAATAGATTTAGACGTACTCTTACCTTTGGAAAGAGTTGACATTTAGCAGTGGCTAAATCCATGGTCTTTGCATCATGGATGTGTGCATTGTTATCCATTAAATAATTTCATCTCCCTGTGGGTGTATCTTTGCTCTTCAGTTAACATAGCTGAGGATTTGGTCTGACCTCCCCATGCGTCCTGCTGCCCACACACCCTTTTCACAGTGCTCGTGCACGGCCCTGCCCAAGGCAGCGCTGGGCCACGTTGCACATCAACACATTGCAATGGAGGAAAAAAGATCTTTCACAAGATCACTAGGGAGCTTGGCTGTTTCCTAGCTACAGCTACGGATTGCTGTGTGCTTCTCTGTTTATATTTTTTTCATTATTTGCTTTAGGACCCGCACACACGCAGAACATTCATAGCTTTCTGAAAGAGTTTCTGTACCACCACCCAACTACTTTATGTTGGGGAGGAAAAAGCTGTCAGTCTCTGCAGCGCAAGGGATGAACTACAATGAATCCGTACTTGGGAAGACAGATTGAAAGAGAGGGGTCTTAATGAGACAGATTAAGGGGTCAGGAGTCGGGGAGTAGTGGTGTAGGAGCTTGAGCCACTTGGTGCACCAGTGAAGGGTTTGGAGTTATTAAGTACTGGAATTGATGGTGCTTCACTTCTACACCCAGAGACACCCAAACTTCTTTAGGATGAGAGACTAACTGATTCACCCCTCTCTTCTTCAGCCTTGCTAAACCCCTTCCCCGCAAAGGGACAGTCTTGCCCATACTGCATACTCAGAACAGTCCTTGGCCTACATGGTGTCCTAAAGCATGCCTAGATATTGGCTGGAGCAACGGGGCCCAAACCAGACCAGAAGGTGCTAACAGTTAAGTGGTATGTGGGACAGTGCTTGAATTCATGCCCTGATCTGCTGATTAGCCGTCTGGTGTGGGTGTAGTCAAACGGAACCAGAATAGGAACAAGGTATGGAGCAGGAAGCCATGTACTTGTTGGGAGAAGAGGAAAATGGTTTGTTCTACCAGAAGATTTCTTAGAGGTGAATTTGGATTCAAACTAAAATAACCTTCCTGTTGGTGATTAGCGGATTTTGCTTTGTTTGTCTTGTCCCTCTCTATTTTTGGTCAAAATGAAGGATGGCAGGAGGTTATGATTGCTCAGTCAGATGAAAGTGACAGCAGTCTGTGCAGTAGGTCTATCTACGTAGATATAATTTAGTTGACTCTAGTTGACATTTTGTGCGAGCATGGGTTCATCGTGCATTATCCGTCTCATCACAGGTACTCTCCCTTCTTAACTTCACAGGATGGATCAACCTAGGAAAGAGCTGAGGTTGTGTTGTGGGGAAAGTATAAAGAGTTTCATTATTTGCTCTTGAAGATAGGTACTAAATGAGTAGAGGAACTACAAAAAGAGAAGGGAATGAGTAAGATGGCAAGGATACGTTGAAGATTGTGTCCTGCCACCACTCTTAAGCAAAGCTGTTTACAGAGGTCAGTCAGTCACCGTATCTGATTTTATAAGCCACCCTGAAACCTGAGGGCTTACTTACCAGTTCTGATTTTTGTCTTTGTACTTAGCTTTGCAAATTTGAGTATCTCTTAAAGTAGCTTTGTGTGCAGCTTCATGCAATGTAGAAGTTTTGCATGTAATGTGTCTGCTATTTTGGGAAGTAGGAAACAGTGGAAAAGGTATAGAAACTTGAAACTAAGTTTATCTCTACTGGCACGTATAGATTAACATACCCCTTTTCCAAGATCCCAGAATAGCAAATATTATTTGGATCTAATTATTAATGCTTCCAGCATTTATCTTTAGCTCAAATCTATCTGTGGTGTGGCAGTCAGTAACAGGACAGACTTTTAGAATCCAGATTGTTTATTTCAAACTTCAACATTTACAAATTTAAATCCTACTACTCTCAAACTGTAGGTATTATGATTGACTTGTAATTACATTTAACAGTCTATAACCTAATGCTCTGGCTTGGAGGCAGATGGGGTTTGGTGCTTTGTTCTTGGTGGGTTTTTTCCCTCTCTAAGTGAGAAAATCAAAAAGTTTCCTAATATAACAATTTGCAACAGGATAGCTTTCCTTTTTTTTCTTTTTTTTATTTTAAAAAAAAGGCATGTGGGATGTGGGAGTAAATGAACTTCAAGTAAGTGTATAATGGGTCTGTGAGGAAGCTTAAGAAAGCCAGCAGTTG